TTTTTGTTGGAACATGGTTTTATTTCATTCATGTTTCTGTTTATGTACATTCTGTTTTCTTTATTGTTGTCATAGTTACATACAGTATCCTAGTTATAACAGTCTCTTAAATTGATAACAAATTCAATTACGTGCCACAACTCTACTACTTATGTTCCTTCCCACTCTATTATTGATGGTGCAAATTACTTATTTTTGCATATCCGTTAATGGAGATGTATAATTTCTATGCTTTTAAAAAATCTATACAAAATTTATACATGGTTATATTACAATAATGCAAGATTCTATATTTGTCTACATATTTATCTTTGCCAGGGGATTTTTATATTTTCAAACTTTTGTGTGTTTCTGGTTATCATCCTTTTGCTGCAATTTATAAACCTATCTTCTCCCTTCCTCATTTCTTATAGGGTGGGTCTTGTGGTGAGCTCAACAGATAATGGTAATATGAGGAAACTCCTGATAGCTCCATCATTTTTGAATGTCAGTTTTGTTGAATATAGTGCTCTGGATTAGCAATTATTTTCTTTTACCCCGTTGAGTCTATCATCTCAGTCCATTCTAGCCTCCAAGGTTTCTGCTGAGAAACCTGTTTCTCGTCTTATAATAGCATCATTTTACTTTTGAGTAGCTTTTCTACTTTCAAAATTATTTGTCTCTTTGCTCTGAATTTTGATTTGATTAAATTGTGTCACAGACTAGGTCTCCTTAGGTTTATTATAGTGAGAATGCTTTTGAGCTTCTTGAATTTTATGTCTATTTCCTTCCTAGGATTTAGGAAATTTGCGGTCATTATTTGTTCACTTAGGTTCTTTGTACTTCCCTCTTCTCTGCTATTCACGCAGTAGATCAATGGTGATCTACTTGATAGTGGTCCATGATTCCTGTGTGCTCTTCATTGTTCTTTATAGTTTTTCTTTTTGGATCCTCTGCCTCAGTAATTTTGAAAGTCCTTTTTAAAATGCACTGATTCTTTTGCCTGATCAAGTCAGGTGTTGGTTGAGTCTCTTTTGGTAAATACCTTAATTCAGTTACTGCTTTTCTGTTAGGAATTTGGTCATGCATAGTTTCAGTATCTTTATGGATATTTTCATTTTGTTTACATAGGATGTCTCTAATTTCATTCAGTTATCTATGCTCTCTTTTGATTTATTAAGCATATCTTGCAAAACATTTTAATTCTTTTTCTGGAAATGCTTACTTTTTTTTTTTGGTCCAGTAGATTTCATTTGTTTTTCTCAGCGTGTCCAGATTCCCTGCTTATTGGATGCTTTGTATTTTGTTTTTGTTGGGATTTCTGCATTTGAAGCATCAACCAACTCTCCCAGACTTTGCAATGTTTTTCTGTACAGAGAATTTTCTTCATTTATTCTCACAAGAGACTCCAGATTCATCTAAAGTTTTTAAAATCCATTCCTTTCTGCCCTTTGGGGGCTCATATAGAACCTCTTTGTTTGAAAAGGCTTGTTGTTTTCTATGCAGCTCCCTCCTCCCATACCTGTCTGCAGACCTCTGGCTCGTTAGTGATGTAGCAAATTGTGTTATTGAAGCACCACCTATTGTCTATTTTTGTTACTGCAAAATGATGCACATTTACTCGTCATTATTCTGAGATCCCACACTACCTCAAACTGGTACCTGTTTCTATCCGTTTACGAATACAAGCACGAGTTAAACAAGCTCATGAGCAGCTCCCTTAAAAGTGAAACCACTCAATGTAGAGGATTTGGATTCTTTCTTCCAACTTCACTGTGCAGAATGAAGTGAGAGGTGTTTTGGTGAGTGGGGTGAATCGTGAATTCTCCTTGAAGGTTTCCATGTGTTTGCATTTGTACCAGCCTGGCGTGCATGAAGCTTGTTTCTGATATAACTTGTTTCTGATGTTCTCGCAGGGGAGTTTAATCCATTTAACTCTGTATCTTGTAGGCACACAAGATCTAGGGCTTCCCGTTCTGCCAGTGTTGATGTCACTCTCTCTCCCACCATGTTTTTTGTTTTTGTTTTTCAATTTCTGGGGCTAATAAAATTATTTGTTTAAATGATTACGTCCTAAACAATTTTCATTAACTGTTATAAGTTATAAAGATTATATATGAGTTTAATCCATTTAACTCTGTATCTTGTAGGCACACAAGATCTAGGGCTTCCCGTTCTGCCAGTGTTGATGTCACTCTCTCTCCCACCATGTTTTTTGTTTTTGTTTTTCAATTTCTGGGGCTAATAAAATTATTTGTTTAAATGATTACGTCCTAAACAATTTTCATTAACTGTTATAAGTTATAAAGATTATATATATATGTATATATATATATATATTACTACAAGATGTCAGAAATTATTCTCCTTAAAGAAAATCTTTCAAATTATTTTTTCAACTTCCTTTCATCAGTTAATATCTTTCTCCCGTGCGTCTTGTTCTCCCCACCATTAACTCAAGAAAACTAGTTTTGACACCTTTTCACTTTTTGTGTTTCATTTTTAGGTGACTTCCTATATTTCACGTAAAAATTTTAGTTATCTCATAAGTTGTATGACATAACAGCTCTTTTCAAATTTTTTCTTCATTGAGAGCGTATAGAAGTTGACAGTTTCTTATGCACCCAAAAACATATCTTGCCAGTGGTGGAAGAGTTTTGTTGGGCTTTAAGTCCATAACTCCCAAGCATGGCCAAATATAAGACACAGTAGGTTCCAGTACTTTGCACCAGGAATTGTTCTAAGCATTGTAGATAAAATAGTGAACAAAAAAAAATTTTTTTTTGAGGGAAATACCAGCAATTGAACTCAAGACCCTGTTCTTGCCAGGAAGGCAAGGCACCACTGAGCTAAATCCCTGGCCCTAATAATGAGCAAAATGGAACACCCACTGCCCTGATATATTTACATGCTAGTGCAAGCAAGACACAATGGACACAAAAAAAATAAAGAATAGTGTGAATGAGAATTGGTGGACTTTTAAATAGATTGGACAGGAATATCTTATTGTGAAAGTAAAATTTTGAGCAAAACATCAAGGATGAAAGGAATTCAGTGAGCTGTAGGTGACTATAAAGAAGAAATTTCCCTGTTAAGGAAGAGACTTAGGAGACAGGACGGATCATTTAAGCACTGTTTAAAATCCCTAGAAAAGACTAGATACTATGAATTAGATTAAATGGTATGGAGGAGCAGCATGACTTAACTTTCTTTTTTAAAGTATTTCTCTAGCTACCAAATCAAGAACAATGTAGGTGTACAGGAGCGTAAGTTGAAAGGAGCATCGGGAGCTGTTATAATAAGCGGGGTAGACATAATGTGCAGGCTGCTGGTAGCACAGGAGGTAGTGAGAAGGTGTCTATCTTGTTCAGACAAGAGAGCACCGCAGAGCAAGTGACCTAACAGCAGAAGTGTATTTCTCACATTTCTGAAGCCTTAAAGTCTGAGGACAAGGCAACAGCATTGTTGAGCTCTGGTGAGAGCCTTCTTCCCAAAGTGCAGTGGCTATCTCTATGCTGTGTGCTCATGTGACAGTTCTGTTACTATGGCAGAACTAACCCTGCCATCATCTAATAACTTCCCAAAGGTCTGAGCTCCAGACACTGTCACCCACAGTATTAGAATTTCAACATGTGGCACTGGAAATACACAAACCTGCTTTTTATGATATGGTTCAGCTTTAATAATACAGCAAAAGGAATTTGCTTTTGGATGTGGATGCATGGGCAGAAAGAGAAAGCATCGAGCAATAAATTTTGTTAAAGTAAAAATTAAGACACCTATAACCCTTGCCTTTATAGGCTATCAGTCATGTGTGTTCTTTGTAAAATAAACCCTGGCCACTTTGAACCCATTTTTCATCTGGCTTCCTGGAAATGCTGCCTTTGAGAATGTTCTGCTGTCACCTTTATTTGGGCTCTGGTGTCCATCTGGTGTCCGTCATGGACAACTGAGAATATTGTTTTGCTTATTATAAGTCAGTTAATGACAGTAATTAAAAACAACAATCCTAGGGCCGGGGATTTAGCTTAGCGGTTCGGTGGCCTGCCTTGCAAGTGCAAGGACCCCAAGTTCAATCCCCGGTACCAAAAAAAAAAAAAAACACACACACCAAAAATCCCCCCAAAAAACCCCAGTCTTAACTGCATTGATATGCTTACTAATCTGATATTATAACAAGAAATCGCTAAAAATAGAAATAGAAATTTCATCCAGCTATCCCCCTGCTATGTATCTTCCAGAAAGAGGTAAAACTATCATATTACAGGGATACATGCATACCCATATTTATAGCAGCACAATGTATAATAGCTAAATTTTGGAAGCAATGTGTATGTCCATCAATGGATGAATGGGTAAGGAAAATGTATTTATGCATGATGGAGTACTACTTGACACAAAGCAAGAACAACTTGAGGAATTTCTAAAAATGAATCCAATTTGAGAACATAATGTTAAGTGAATTAAGTCAGAGACACAAGGTGAAATATCTCATCATACAGGTTTCTTCTATATGAGAAACTCAAATTATATATATATATATATATATATATATATTCAAGAATGAAATAAAAGATAAGTAGGAAGTGGGGAGAAATTCAGATGATTCTACAAATTACCTATTCTATTATTTCAACAATGCTTTAATATATATGTTAATTTGTTTCATTTATATTATTAGTTTGTTAGTCCATTGAAAAGAAAGTTTTGTGCTAATATCTGTTTTCTTCTTCTTTGTAAGACAGATCCTTTTTGTTGATGTTTGGTACCTTGACGACAATAATACACAGTGTATTAACTATTGTTATTTTCATGAAATTTTGTTTTATTATTTTATAAAAGAAAAAAAGAAAGTGACGTTTTAACTATACAGTAATGGTAACATTAAAAGGGAAAGATAGGTATGCTCTTATATTAAAAACAATATTTCAAAGTAAAAAGGAAAATTTCTAAAATGTGCATATATCCGTAATCTGGTCTTCTGCTTAACAATTTTCTCCTTTCCTTGTGCTTTTTCTTAGATGTTCTTTGTAGCTCTGTCATTTAGCTACATTTGCAGAGCACTGGGTGGAGTGATTATGAAAACTTCCATCACTCAAATAGAAAGGAGATTTGACATATCCTCTTCTGTTGCTGGTTTAATTGATGGAGGCTTTGAAATTGGTAACTTTTATTTCTATTTTAATAATCAGACTTGCAGAGGCAAAATCCTATTCATATATGCTCTATACTTTTGGTTCTCAACAAGGGCAAATAGGTCCTTCAAGGCCAATTTTCCAATATCTGCAGATATTTTTGGTTGTATCACTTCTGGGGCTGTGTGTGCAACTGGCACCTAGAAATAGAAGCCATGGATTCTGCTAAGAATCCTACAAGGCACAGAGCAACACCCAACAACAAAAATTACCCAGTGCCAAATGCAAGCAGTTAAGATGTTGAAAAATTTTGATCTCACACCAATGCATTGCTTTCATATTAACAGCTTGTGAAGCTTTGCCTTGCCTCTCAAAATGCCCAAGTGAAAATGAAGGTTGATTCTACTATTTGGGGAGGGAGAAAGAGCTTTGGAACAAAACTACATTCAATTCCTACTGTTCTTAAATGTTTGAGGTTAGGACTTTTTTTTTTACAATACTGAAAATATTGCTTTGCTCTTTTCATTTTAATTTTAGTATCTTCTATAGTCATAAATCTTATTACTTTGTTTCCTTCACTCTTCCACAAGTGGGTTTAACAAAATCATTTAGAATTTTAAAATTAGAGTTTTAGCATTAAAATTTAGTTTATTCTATGTGTCTTTTATTGAGGCATTTATTTTTAATATTTTTGTCAAACTTTGTTACTGTTTAATACCAATTATTTGTATAGCATTATGATTTCTTTGTGTACTTCTGAATTTTGAATATTGTGACTTCAAGTCTCGTCTTTAGTTTTACTGGAGTATATTTTCAAGTCGTAATTTTTTTTCCAGAAAAAATCGAATGCATGGCATAATGTCAAACTCCCTGCTTGTTAGAAATATGTTTATTTTTTCATCACACATCGAAGCAATAATTTGGGCATGGAATAAAAAATATTTTTATTAGAATATTTACAACTTTCATGTGCTGTTTTATAACATTCAATATTGAATGTTAGAAAATTATTTTCTCCTATACTGATAAACATTTCCTTTATGTACTTGAATCTCAGAAACTTTGCCCCCATGTCTGTGAGGGTCATTTTTATTTTATTCCTGCTAGATATGGAAAAATGATTCACTGAAGGCTTACATCTTGGCTTAGCTGAGGAAATTTATTTTGTTTCTTTTTTGTCATCTCTATTTCATTTATTTACTTTGGAAACAGCTATAAAATAAATACTAAATTTTATTAATTATTAAACATTTTCTTCTTTCTAAATTTCTACCATTTTAAATGTTCCAGCAATCACCTCAGCTGCTGTCTACCATTTTCTCATATGAAGTTCTAACTTGTAATATTTTCTATAATTTTTAAACTCATCTTAATTATTACTTTATTTTTAGTTTTCTAGTTCTAATTTTATGGATGCAACATGCTGTTATACTTCTAAAGATAATAACTAGATAGTTCAGTTTCTCTTTTTTAAAAGATTGATTCTTATTTAACCATGACCAATTATCTGTTGGATTATTTTTGTGTTTTTCCTTCAAAGTTCTTTTTTCCTATCAGGTGTTCAGTAATTACTTGGTTTCTATCTTTTCATTGTTATACATGTAACTCCTGATGGAACAGAATTGTCGGTGACACCCTCCACTTAGAATATTCTATTTCCTTTTTTTTTTAATTTTCTGTTTCTCTTTTTTAATCTAAATAATTTACCAGTAAATGTCAAGTGGCCTCCTGGAAACATTCCTGAATTCCCTACATTTTCTAATTACTCTTCATTTTTGGTCCAATAGTGCTTCTGTCCAACTGGCAACTTTTATCACTAGTATGTAAAAATTCTTAAGGATTGGCACTATAATACATTTATTTGTTTATTTATTTATTTATTCATTTTTATATTTCTGGCTCTGGACACCATGGCAAGTACATAATAATAGTTTAAAGAATGCTGGAAATGCATGATTAAGTGCATTAATGGATACATTTCCCTCAGGTCAAGAAGATTTTTCTCCCCTTTTAAAAATAATCTAGTCAATTCCAATTTTTCACTAAAATTCTGCTTCACAAATATTGCCAATGTTTCAAGTGGCTTCTTTAGTATCTAAAACCTACTCTATTAAAAAACCCAATAACATACATGGTGTTTATACTATTTATTAAAAATATGCTTTACTTATTGGTGGTTCTCTACACCTTTGCAATGACTGGTTTATTAAAGGTTGAATTTTACCTCAATTGAATGATCTAATCTTTGATGAAAGGTACTACATTTGTGCTCTCTTTGCTTCCACTTGGGTCTTTGATGTTTTTGGCCACAAAACTAGGCTCAGTCAATACTTGGTGGAATGGACCATGCCAATATAATTTTTTTTCTCTTTCTAGGAAACTTGTTTGTGATCTTGTTTGTAAGTTACTTTGGATCCAAGCTACACAGACCGAAGATAATTGGAATAGGTTGTGCCATTATGGGCGCTGGAAGTATTCTGACTGCTTTACCACATTTCTTCATGGGATAGTAAGCGTTGCACTGCTGTGCACTGTTGATGGTCATTGTCATGTGAATTAGTAGTAGAATTTTACTCTTATTATTTTAATTGGCAGTTCTTTATTTAAAGAAGAGTACTCAAAATATTTATAGGAATGTGTGTATTTTGTATGTAACGATTAACCGACTGTTTTATTCATCATGGGTTTCATAGGTTGAGATTTGCATAGCACGAAAAAAGTACGTAGTCTGATAAGGAATAAAATCTTTATGGCTTTTTTGGTATGATAAATGTAGCCCCGTGTCTTTGTATGTAAGACTTAAGTTATAGGGCTGGGGATTTGGCTTAGTGGTTCCACTACGTGCCTCGCAAGCCGGTGGGCCTGAGTTTGATCCCTGGTAAAAAAAAAAAGACATTATGTTCAGTAAGACCTCACCACAACGGTTTTCCCACACCCGGTCCACTGAGGCTGTTCTTCCGAATGTCCCAGAGTATCTGGGATAAGAATCAGCTGCTCATGAGAAAGAACTTAAAGTAGCAACTGCTCTTGTAAGACTGAAGCTTATTTTTTACCTCAAAGTTGATGTGAAAAGCAGTTGCAGGTTGGCATGATATTGCTTTTTATCATCTTGTTCGGCCGCACATGGTCTTGGCCTCACAACCCTCATGCCAGTGTTGGTCCAGGCGACAGGAGCTAGGAAGAGAAGAAAAAGCAGCAGCAGCAAAGAACACACACAGGGTGAAGCCTAGGAGCTATTTCAGAAGCATAACTCTTGCACCGACTTCACAGTGCCCACATGTTCATTCCATTTTACACACAGAGAAAAGACATTTTGGTCTGCTATGTTTGCACCTAAAAATCAACTTCAATTCCTATTGAAGTAGACAATTCTGAATATCGAGAAGCAGCCATTTCTGCCCCAGACAAGTGTTTACCACCATACCAACAATCACACCTTTTACTCATATTAACTTTAATATTTCTATAGTGACTATTTCTAAATTTGACTTTTATTAAGAGTTTTTCTCTGTGATACTACTACTTCTAATTTTTAAACCTACTTTCATCTTCACTGCTCTGCATGACTGGAGACCAGATTTGAAGGCTTCAGTAATACTGTCATGCCATGCTTTTGTATTACTGATTTTGCAGGCTTGAATACTTTTCCTTCATGTTATGCCTTTGAAACATCCATCACTAGGATTCATCTCAAATGTCATTCTCACATGAAATTTGAGTCTACCCTACTCTCTACCTTCAACAAAACTGATCATTTTTTATTTCATGACAATTCAGAGCCTTGAACATTAAACATACATCTTTTATCATGTATATTTATCTTAGATAATTTGACATCCCCTAACTACAAAAATTATGTATTTATTTCAAGTTTTTTGAAGTGCTTCACGATGCCTGGTGTGCAGTTCTGGTGCTGTTTGAGAGATAGGGAACTTCAGCGTTTTTGGCTTTTTGTCCCTAGTCTAACTCCATTTTTGCTAATCTTATTAAATTCTCCCTCATCAAGTTGAAGTCTATTAGATTTTTTTCTAAGTTTTGCAAAGTTGAATACTGAATATTCCACCAACAAAAGCAAATCAGGTGGATGATGCAAATGTAAATAAACTGGCACACATTATAGATTGAAGAACACTGCTGTAAAGTTTTCAAAGAAACATTATCATAAATTATGATAGAGCTTAGATTGTGGTCACCTAGGCAAATAATTCAGAGGAACAAGAACCAAGAAGCTATTTTGTATCTTGACCAGCATATAACAAGTCCTAGAAGGAGAACAGGGCAGCAATTCACCCTGCCTGGGGGCTTTCCTAGTAGATACTCCCATTTCCTGTGCGTCCAGCTTCTCTCCTGAAACACAGGCTACATAACTGGTTTAGAGGAGCCAAGTGAGCTGCAGAGGGGGAAAGTTCAAAGAAAGAAAAAAATATTCCTCAGGTTTTCTGGGACAATAAAAATTTGTTATAAGAAAATAAGGAAGAGTTTAAATCTAGTGATGTTTTCAGTTACAGGTATTCTTCAGAAACCCATGATAATACATCAGATAATTCATTTTTGACTTGTTTAAGTGATCAGACTTCATCATTCACTGAAACACCACTTGAAGTAATGAGAAAAGGTAAGAATTGATAGAAATTGTAAAAATATTCTAAAATTTAAAACTTTAATTACATTCATAAAATGATTTATGTGGTATTTATTAACAAAAACTGATGAAAGAAAATAGGAAAACATTTGACCTTTATGTACAGACAACATCATAGTGTAAATATATACTGCACATAAAGAATTTTCATAAGTAAATAAAAAAATGAGATTTAAGTAGGGAATTGGCAACAAAACGTGCACTTGAAATTAAAGAGCAGGAATTTGTCTAACTACATATAGAAACATGTCTTTTGAGAAAAATGTATACTACTATACCACTTAAATATTTCAATTTATTATAACAGAAATCATAAACTATAATTATAAACTATAATACTAAAGTGTTTTCTACTTATTATGATTAAGAGAAACAAGGGAAAAAGAATAGAAGGAAAAATATTTTAAATTTTTAGTATTGTTGGAAGGGAGCACATTTGTAACTTTCTGGAGATTAATTTTCAATATATATTAAAGGACAAAAATATTTCCCCTAATCTAATTATTATTACTGACTAATCTTCTGGTAATAATTAAGATTGTAAAAAACTGTACACTCAGATTTATACTTATTATAAAGTCATCCTTTTTCAACAGAATTTAAAATTAGAAATATTTTGCTTTTTAAAAATATAAGATTAAGCCAGGGATTTAGACCAGTGGCACTGTGCCTGACTTAAAAGCGAAAGGTCCTGAGTTTGATCCTGGGTACAAAAAAAAATATATATATATATGTTTGATTAATAGAAAATTTTTTAATATAGTACTATGCACTCATTAAAATTCTTGTATAAAAGACAACCTGCAGGAAAAAGGCATGGTGAACTTGTTAGAATACAGTGTTAAGTTGTAAAAGATTTTAATAGGAACTGTAATATATACAATGAATATTATGTATAATTTTATGTGTACCAATATGTTGAAGATATGTAACAAACATTAGATTTTTTCTGTGTAGTGAAATCTCAGATAATTTTACTTATTTTCTTTTGTTCTTTGTGCTTTTCTGTATTATCAAATTCTACTAAGTGACTATGAATCACTTAAAATTAGAAAAAAGCCAGAAGGAATCAGTGGTCTAATTCATGACAGGAATTCATGATAGGAATGCTGAAATTACTGTTTAAAATAAAGCACTCTCTTGTCTCCCTAGGTTGTGAGAAGCAATCCGAGTCCTACATGTGGATCTATGTGCTAATGGGTAACATGCTTCGTGGAATAGGGGAGACCCCTATAGCGCCCCTGGGAATTTCTTACCTTGATGACTTTGCTAAAGAAGGACAATCCTCTGTTTATTTAGGTAATGCACAGAAGTGTTACATTGAATGAGGTCTTCCCCTGATCTACCCTCTGCTACTTTTATCATGATTACTATTCTTTTTGCCTGGAAAAAATGATTTGGACAAATGTCTAATACTACTTCCAAAAACATGTTGGATAAGAATCATGAATTCTTTACATCTGATATATTTGTTTTATAATATTTTACATCTGATATATTTGTTTTATAATATTTCAGGTGCTTTGAATGCAGTAACAATGATTGGCCCAATACTAGCCTTTCTAATGGGTTCGCTGTTTGCTTCAATGTTTGTGGACATTGGATATGTAGATATGAGTAAGTACAAGCAGAACAAGTTAGCATGATCAAATCTTTCAGGTACCTAACACCATTGTACCATGTAATCAAATTCACTCTTTCAATATTCCTTTGCTTACTAATTTTTAAATTTACAAGTTGGAAAAAGCATTCATAATCATAATAAAAATGAAATTCAGCTCCTGCTCTACATACTGTTACAACTAAGTATAAAATGAGAAATTTTAATAATCTTGTTTACATTACTTGATCCAAAACAAACAAATTTAAAATGTTTTTCCCACAGAACTGGCTATGTAGTCAAGTAAATATAGAAATCCAGTTGATGGCGGATTGGACCTTGAAATGCAGAGTTTAGAGTTTGCTTTGCTAAAGCTGATATGAGGTTGAAGGGCTGACTGATAGCTGGACTGTACTGAGGGCTGCACTGTGCACTTTGGCTTTTGATCACTGATTCTAGACCTGGCAAAGGCCTTTGCATATGGAAACATTCCACATGTGTTGTGGAGTAAACCAGTGTAGGAGTGTTCACGTAAGTGAACGTCATCACCTTCTCCACCTCAGAGCACTTCCCCTAGTAAACCCAGAAACAGTACCCATCATGTAGATACTCTAATTTAACCTCTCTTTCCAACAGATCTACCTGCACCACATCCCTTTTCATGTTTTTTCCCAGCCCAGTGGAAAAGGCATCTGTCTTCAGCTGATGTTAATACATCCAAATGTGTCTTAGAGTCTCCCTTCTCACCTCTTCCAAGATTGAGTTTCAAAAACACATTTCCTGATCCATCCAGTGTCTTCAATTCTCCATTTGCAGCCTCTCTTTGTCCTTAGGAAAAACATTTTATGTCTCTCCTTCCTATCTGTCTGTCAGTCTGTCTATCTATCTATTAATCATTATTCTGTTTTAATATATAAACATAAAATAAATATGATTTAAATTTGTATATATAAATAAAATGATTATGTGATTTTTTTTAATATCCACAAACAGCTTCCTGGCTGATTTTCTGTTTTTCCCTTTCTCCTCATAGCCAAACACTTTGAAAAAAAATAAAACTTAAAGGTTTCCTTTCTTACCTCCCATTTACCTCTCAACTATAATATATCTAGCTTCTGTCACTCATGAAATAAAATCAATTTCTACTAATTTACTTGTAATGGATATTTTTATTTCAGCTTCCTAAATTGATATTTTCAGTACTCTCTTATTTTTTTCTTACATGTGTTATAAGCACCTAAAACTCCACAAGTCAAATCCAGGCTTATTGTCTTAGCCACAAACATACTTAATTCCATATATTCAACCTCTTGATGAGTATCTTTTCCTTAATTTAATTATGGATTAAACCTCCTCAGATTTTGTTTGGGAAATGATTGCCTCTCCATTGTCTGTAAACAGGTTTGAGGGCTATAGGATTCTTGGTTGATAGAATTATTCTTGCAGCACTTCCTGTGGTCTGCAAGATAACAACTGAAAAGCACACTGAAAAGTTCATGGAGTATGATTGCGTGGATCTAACAGGTCCTGGCCAAAGGCTCATGAGTTCAGTGGTGGAGATCTGGGAAAGCCATTGGATCCTAGTGGCTCGGACTCTGTGAGTGGATCAGTCCATTCATGGGTTCCTAATTCCATGGCATTGTTGGAAGGTGATGGAAGACCAGGAGGTAGAGCCTGGCTGAAGGCACTAGGTCATAAGCAAGTGGCCTGGGGCACAATATCTTAATCTCAGACTGCACGTCTCTGGCTTTCTTCCTTTTCTTCCTTACCACCATAAGGTGAGCAGCTTTGCTTCACCAGGCCCTTTTGCTGTGAAATTCAGCTTCACCACAAGCTCAGCAGTAAGGGAGCTGACCACGGACTGTGTGTTGCTATCCAGTTTATTTGTTGGTGGAAGGATAGTATGTGGCTTCCTATTCTGCCACTGTGCTACTGCCTCGTGTGTCCTCTCATAATACTTAGACTACTTTATACTTATGGAAGTACTCATCTACACATGATGATATATAGCAGTAACATATTATCTTCTTGTGTGCTTTAAGGAAAATGTAGCAAAAATAAAATGGTTAAATATACATTACATTTAGAGCCTAGCTTTTCTAAGTTGCTTTTAAACCCATACTTTCATTGTGTTTTTTTTTTTTTACCTGTCTCATGCTTTGTGCTGACAACAGAGCTGTAACTGCAGGTTTCTAGGGTGGGGCAAAGCCCTTCTAGTGGCTCTAAGACTTTTCCTGCAAACTGCTTTAAGTTTCACTGCTGGTACTTTCTTTACCTCAGCAGATGGTGCTGATAGATATTTACAGATGACCATGAGAAGTCATATATGAGTATTTTAAAGTCATTTTCTGGAGTAAATATGCAAAGCTGTAGTTCTTCAGTGATGTCTTCAGAAAGGATGTGGAGTTTATTTACACAAACTCAGGCTACCATGACATCATCACGACCGATTCCTGGACAGAGCAATTGTTAAATGCCATCAGATGTTAGACTTCTTCCAATTTTTGAAGTGACAAAATATGAAGTGAAGAAAATAGCACCTTAGAATTGATTCGATATAGTTTACTTTGCTCTTCTATTGGGAAAAAAAAGTCATTATCAATGTTGCCCAGCACTTACTCTATTTCAAACTGACTTTTGACTGGCTTTTCTACTTATTTACTCTAGGCAGCATCAGAATAACTCCTCAGGATGCTCGCTGGGTTGGTGCTTGGTGGCTTGGATTCCTTATGTCTGGACTACTGTCCATCATTTCTTCCATACCGTTCTTTTTTCTGCCTCGAAATCCAAATAAACCACAGAAACAAAAAAGGAAGATTTCAGCAACTTCGTGTGGACTCAAAGCAGATGAAGAAGAAAACCAAACAGCTAATTTGACCAATAAACGTCAAGATGTTACTCTGACTGGTACGAATTTTACATTCATAGTCTACATTGAAATGTTAGTGCCAATGGGAAGGAAGAGTATTTCAAAATAATATCACATTAAGTACTTTGGAGTTAACTTTCTGTGAACTAAATTTAGCTGATTATATTCCTGAAATTCCTATTAATGTTAGTATGTACTTCCTGAGCATCTAACAAACTGAATAGAATTAGGTTTATGGCCTTTATCTTGGAAAAAACAACCAAAGGCTAGAAAACCTGTCATGTAGAAATCAGAGTACATTCATTTCAAAATTATGTTATGTAGAACATTAGTGAGAGTCAAATGAGCTGTAATAGTTCATTAATTCACTTAAGGGACAGATTATATGAGGTATTTTATTGTGCCTCAGTGACAGAAAATTACTCTGTTTTCCAAGAATTTACTAAGAATTTCCAAGAATTTTTTTTTCCCAAAAAGCTGCTTGCTGGTGAGAAATATAAATACGGAGACAATGGCAGCAAATTACCTTAAGGACTGTGTGGTCAAGTTAAACTTAACTACTCTCATAGACTTAGGAATTAGGGCAAACTCAGGAGAGTTTTCTCAAACTCTAGGTAATTAGAATAAAATTATTTTTTCTCGGTAACTGTCCTGAAAAATACTGTTTCCCAAAATATTCAAAACTGAAACAGAAGCACAGTAGTCGCTGAAATACTTGGCATCATTAATGTGAATCAATCATTGCTAGTGCCTGCTCTTTCAAATATAAGGCCTAGGGAGTAGTGAAGAACTGCTGAGAAGCAATGATCCTCCACAGCCAGACAAAAACGGTTGAAGTAATGAGATGTCATCAGCAGTTCTGAGATTTTGGAAAATGGGTAAAATGTTAAATGCCAGAGCAATCCCCTGCCTAAACCCTGGGCATCCTTCTGAAGTTGACATCTCATGGTATTACACATATTCTCAGTTACTGCCCAAGTTTGCCATCTTAGCAGGTCTTCGATTTATTCCCTTTCTTCTTCTCTCTATAACTTTAAGCCTAGAATAATGTTGTGTTAGAGACTGTCTGTATCGGTTCACAAAGGAAATCATTACACTTCCAACTGTATTAGGAGCTTGAAATTAGCCATGGCAGAAAAATTTAACACTATGTATTATTGTAGAAATTGGGAAATACTACAAAGAGGGACTTGTTTCCCCAAGAATCATTTGTTACATATTTACCGGGACACTATGGAGTTAGTAGTTTTTGAAATTTACCATACACATTAATATAATAGGTAATTTTCAGTTTTATATATGTGGTTTCTACTTTGCCATATCAAATCCATAAACACTAGGGGATTGCCTAAAACTTTAAGAATTAGGTTTGACTCTTAAAAAAAATAAGAAATTGAAGAAGCAAAAATAAGACAATTATAAATATAAGATAGATTATCAATGTGTTTGTAGGATAGTGACATAAAAAATAAAGACGACCTTAGTTTTATGCCTATTAGGAATGGATGACATAACTAGGAACACATAGAAGGAAATATACTGAATTTATTTTACATGCTCTCAAGGAAAACTAAATGGTTCAAGAGAAGCAAAGAAAGATTTCAGTTCATCACAAAAACAGTATGTAAACAATAAGAACTGTCCAAAAGAGAGAAATTGCTTAAATTACTTACCAATCTATGTATTAGGGCTACATCATGAATCATGATTATGTGGACATTCTCATTCACCTCAAAAATTCCATGATGCCATAAATTTCTATGCTTTATTCTGTTAATCAAATGTCATACTTATTTAGAATGCCTCACAAATTAGTGATGGGCCTTTCTGATTGGCGAATCCTATGGAGATAACTTTAATATTTTGGCCCAATAATCTTAAAGATTTGCTCCTGTTGTAAATGTCCTTACTTTTTCTTTCTCTTTTTAACTATTGCCCTATTTTTAACCATTGCCCTTTTTAACCATTTCTCATTTAATCAATAATGCTCCTTTCTTTTTATTATATGCAGATGACACTATTTCTTTGTTAATATTGGACTTTAAGATTTTTAAACCTCAGTATTCTTATTTCTGTGAATATTGGATTGTGCTTATAATTTAAATTTCTATTTAATAATTATTAACATAATTAGATCCTGATAATTAGAAAACACATTGCATAATGGATTAACTTATTCCTTAGACAGTTATCATATTGCCTGGTATGAATGCCAAATCTTTGCTGAATGAACAAATACATAAATTAATATATATGCAGCTTATGGTAAAATGCCAAGAATAACCAAACATTACAAGCACAAGGCACATTACAAAACAGTACTTACATAGAACTTAAATAAGGTACAATGAACTGAACAAATAAATATCAATATATGAATAAAAATAATGAAAGAATATGTTTTAAAAATTTAGCAGTAGGATTTTAAGGTACTCTAAATTTGATATGTATTTATGTAATTTCAGATTTTCTACAACATTAATGGTTATTATATTAATATGTATTTAAGTTGCTTTATACTAATAGTATTTTTATGTTTATCATCTTCAGGTTTTTTAAAGTCCGTGAAATGCCTCCTTATCAATCACCTATATGTTTTGTATGCGCTTTATACATTGATTGCTAGCAGCAGTTATATTGGTTCATTTACTTACCTTTTCAAGTTCATCGAACAACAATTTGGTCAGACAGCCTCTCAGGCTACCTTTCGTTTGGGTAAGACATATGTTTTACCTGTTTCCTTGATAAGTGAGATATAAATGACAATTTATATCTGTGAATATGATTTTATATTTCAGTAAATAATTCCCATATGCTTTCTTAAACTTTACTGAATTTGTCCATCATTATTCTGGCCTTGAAGTTGCAATTTATGCTATAGGAGTTCCTAAAGGAAAAGTTGCATGTTTAATGGGACATTTATAGTGTATCTGTATGATTAGGTTTAGTAATTTAGTGTTGAGATACTAAAGTTGTTTCAAAACGTGGTCAATATAATTTTATAATTCATGGACTTTGAAATAAAAAAATAGGGCATTGATGTTTCCAAAAATGTCTTAGCTACTTTTCTCTCACTGCTGAGACAAAATACTCTACACCTACAGGTTAAGGGAGGAGAGGTTTATTTGACTCACAGTTTGTAGAGGTTTCATTCCATAATCTGGCTGGCTGCAAGGCAGGGTGGCACATGGCAGAGGGGCAACAGTGAAATTGGAAGACAGAAAAAGCAACAAGGGATCTTAACAGCATCTTTCTTCTCCTTTTATCCTGTCCAGATTACTCAGGGTGGGTAGTGCTCACACCCTTAATCCTAGTGCCCTTGAGCCTAGCACTGCATCATGAATCAATCCCATGAACTCTACATCCAGCTATCTCCAAAAAAGCCCACCCATGACTTCATGAGTTTTTGAGAAGACAACTAAACACAAGCCACCACAAAAGATGAAACAGTTTTAAAAACACCATCAAAATATGCAGAATTAAAAACAAATACAATATTTTGAATTTTATGGTGCAATATCTGTTTACAGTGGCACATTGAAACCTTCTAGTTAAAGAAAACATTTTTATATTCTTGCCATAACTCCATTATTGTGGAAATACTGTAGATACTGACTACATTGTTTTTCTTCTATTTTTTAGTTTATTGAGGAACCATTGTAGTGGAGTTCTTGAACTCTGTTTCAAACCCACACCAATATAATCCTATTTACCAGCTCCATTTTGGAATAGGCAGTTTGAAAATGCCTAGTTAGATTTTTTTCAGCTTTAATTGAGTTTATTGGTACATTTTAGGGATACAGTACAGTTACATTCATTGTTGGGATCTTGTACCTCTACATGATAAGTCTTGGTTCTCATATTTTCCCCTTGTGCCTGCCCTCCCTTCACCCTCTCCTCCCCTTCCCATCTACAACCACTTTATTTCCATCTTTTCATTATCTCACATTTTTTCTTTTCCCTTTTTACCTTTCCCCTACCCATCCCACCTTCCCTACACCTTTAGCTCCTTATTTGCCCATCAGTTGGAAACTGGATAAAGAAGATGTGATTTTTCTATAAAATGGAATATTACTCAGCCATAAAGAATGAGAAAATAGATTCATTCATAGGAAAATGGATACATATTGAAGATATACTCGTAAGTGAAATAAATAAGGCACACATGTGTAAATACTGAATAGTTTCTCTGGTGTGAATAATCTGCAATAATACAGAAGATATATAAATGACAATTTATATCTGTGAATATGATTTTATATTTCAGTAAATAATTCCCATATGCTTTCTTAAACTTTACTGAATTTGTCCATCATTATTCTGGCCTTGAAGTTGCAATTTATGCTATAGGAGTTCCTAAAGGAAAAGTTGCATGTTTAATGGGACATTTATAGTGTATCTGTATGATTAGGTTTAGTAATTTAGTGTTGAGATACTAAAGTTGTTTCAAAACGTGGTCAATATAATTTTATAATTCATGGACTTTGAAATAAAAAAATAGGGCATTGATGTTTCCAAAAATGTCTTAGCTACTTTTCTCTCACTGCTGAGACAAAATACTCTACACCTACAGGTTAAGGGAGGAGAGGTTTATTTGACTCACAGTTTGTAGAGGTTTCATTCCATAATCTGGCTGGCTGCAAGGCAGGGTGGCACATGGCAGAGGGGCAACAGTGAAATTGGAAGACAGAAAAAGCAACAAGGGATCTTAACAGCATCTTTCTTCTCCTTTTATCCTGTCCAGATTACTCAGGGTGGGTAGTGCTCACACCCTTAATCCTAGTGCCCTTGAGCCTAGCACTGCATCATGAATCAATCCCATGAACTCTACATCCAGCTATCTCCAAAAAAGCCCACCCATGACTTCATGAGTTTTTGAGAAGACAACTAAACACAAGCCACCACAAAAGATGAAACAGTTTTAAAAACACCATCAAAATATGCAGAATTAAAAACAAATACAATATTTTGAATTTTATGGTGCAATATCTGTTTACAGTGGCACATTGAAACCTTCTAGTTAAAGAAAACATTTTTATATTCTTGCCATAACTCCATTATTGTGGAAATACTGTAGATACTGACTACATTGTTTTTCTTCTATTTTTTAGTTTATTGAGGAACCATTGTAGTGGAGTTCTTGAACTCTGTTTCAAACCCACACCAATATAATCCTATTTACCAGCTCCATTTTGGAATAGGCAGTTTGAAAATGCCTAGTTAGATTTTTTTCAGCTTTAATTGAGTTTATTGGTACATTTTAGGGATACAGTACAGTTACATTCATTGTTGGGATCTTGTACCTCTACATGATAAGTCTTGGTTCTCATATTTTCCCCTTGTGCCTGCCCTCCCTTCACCCTCTCCTCCCCTTCCCATCTACAACCACTTTATTTCCATCTTTTCATTATCTCACATTTTTTCTTTTCCCTTTTTACCTTTCCCCTACCCATCCCACCTTCCCTACACCTTTAGCTCCTTATTTGCCCATCAGTTGGAAACTGGATAAAGAAGATGTGATTTTTCTATAAAATGGAATATTACTCAGCCATAAAGAATGAGAAAATAGATTCATTCATAGGAAAATGGATACATATTGAAGATATACTCGTAAGTGAAATAAATAAGGCACACATGTGTAAATACTGAATAGTTTCTCTGGTGTGAATAATCTGCAATAATACAGAAGATCCTAATAAGATTACTGACATTGAGAAATGGGAAGAAAGGAGCTGACTACATTTTTAATGAATTAAATATTTATCAAGTGTTACATAACTAGATCATAGTAAGTTGTAAATGATTTTCCTAAATTTCTGCACCAGGATTCTGTGATTCTGTTTGAATTTAAGATAAAGTTTAATTGTCGAGGTTAAGTTTTGACTTCTTATAACCCAACCAGAATTTTTGTGTTACAGGAGTTTCTATAATAACTATATAGGTAAATAAAATAAAAAAGTTATGAGGAATCAAACATTTTAAATGCAGTATACAAACCTATTCAGTCATCTATATATATATGAACATGGAATAGATATTAATTTAATTATTCAACTATATGAGAACACTTACCCACCCATGGGGCAAACTGGAGTGGGTATTTGAATGCTGGGACTCTTTTTTTTTTTCATTGAGTTTATTGGTACTTTTTAAGCTTATGGTACAGTTACATTTATCATTGGGATCTTGTACCTTTGCATGACAGATCCTGGTTCTCATTTTTTCCCTGTACCTCTGTCCTCCCTTCACCCGCTTCAACCTCCCCTATTTACAAAGACTTTGTTTCCATTTTTTCCTTTTCTCATATTTTTTCTTTTCCCTTATTTCCTTTCCCCTACCCTTCCCACTTCCCCTACACCTTTAGCCCCTTTCTTCCTATTTTACATTGTCAGTTACACAATTTGAATCTTATTTACACTTTTAGTTTTTCACACCAGAGAAACTATTTGGTATTTACACGTGTATCTTATTTATTTCACTTAAGCGTATGGCCTCAATATACATCCGTTTTCCTATGAATGACTCTAGTTTCTTATTCTTTATGGCTGAGTAGTACTCCATTTTATAGAAAAACCACATCTTCTTTATCCAGTCTCCAACTAATGGGCAATTGGGCTGTTTCCAATTTTTAGCTTTTACAAACTGTGCCACTGTAAACATGGGTACACATCTATCACTGTGGTATGATTCTTTTAATTCTTTTGGAAAGATACCCAATGCTGGCACTCTTCATCTTGAATACGTAAAGGATTTTAGATGATGGGAACAAATACCCTAAGCATAAAGATTGTATATTTTTGCTATTGTTTTCCAGGATAAAAAATGTCCCTTATAGAAATTATGTTTAGACAAAAATATTATCTGATTATTGCCTTTGTAATTAAAAATAACTAAATAATTTTTGGGAGGAAGAAATTATTTTTGTCTTTATGACACTGTTTCTCTTCTCCATTTTGAACTTCTACCATTCTGCTTACAAAGAAATATGAGTGGATGATGTTGATATATACTGTGTTATATGAAATATATTGTTTTTATACATATATAATCATATCAGAAAAGCTATAGTCATAAACTTACAATATATAATTGCAAATTTTCTCTTTTTATTTCTAGGAGTCATAATTCTACCTAGTATGGCAGGTGGAATGTTTTTAGGAGGCTATCTCTTTAAAAAACTGAAATTAACCATCGTTGGAATTGCCAAGTTTGGATTACTTACTTCATCCATTACCTTTTTGTTGCACTTACTATATTTTATTCTACTCTGTGAAAGCAAATCAGTTGCTGGATTAACTTTGACTTATGATGGGTTTGTATGTAAAACTGTATCAATTTCACAATGTGTTAACTAGCTAAAGAAAAGACTTGGGAAATAAGGGAAGAAAATAAGTCTAACTAAACTTTCTTTTAATTGAAAGAATTTCTATTTATAAATTTGCCAAATGAACATTTCTTCAGACCTTAAACATTGATTTTTATTTCTTTAGAGACACCTGTAAAAATCACTTCTTGGTGCTAAGATCAAGGGTAGAGTTGCCTGTAACAATAATAACTATCACTTATGGAAGTGGTTACTTCTTTCTCCTTCCTATTCTTCACTCCTCTATCTTCTATTCCTCTGCTTCTTCCTCTTCTTTATTTTTATATTCCTCTCTCATACATTTCCAGACTTAGTCCAGTGTCATCTCATGCAAATGTACCCCTGTCTTATTGCAACTCAGACTGCAATTGTGATGAGAGTCAATGGGAACCAGTCTGTGGGGACAATGGAGTAACTTACTTGTCACCTTGTCTGGCAGGATGCAAATCTAGCAGTGGCAATAAAAAGTCTGCCGTAAGTATTAGTTTTACTTTTGCTCTTCTCCGTAATCAAGGCCATAGGTGACATTTAACAATCACTTGTCAAATCTTCCTATAATTAATGTCCCCAGCAAAATGATAGAAGGAAAAGATTGCAATATTTTCTGTCATTGTGACGGCTGTGACGTTGTGTACACAAGTCTTAATTTAAAATCCTGCTGTGCACCGGGCGTGGTGGCGCACACCTGTAATCCCAGCACTCGGGAGACTGAGGCAGGAGGATCGCTGAGTTTGAGACCAGCCTGGGCTACATAGTGAGTTCCAGGTCAGTCTCAACTACATAGTGAGGCCCTGTTTCAAAAAAACAACAGCAACAAAAAATCCTGCTGTGGAACTCAATCAGGTTTCTCTGTTGCTCAAATTTTAATTTGAGATTACCTCATTATTGTTTCCTTGAGATTGTAAGTATATGACCTTTTGAAATATGAATGTACTTAAAGTCTCTGTAGAGCATCTCATTTTACTGAAGTATATGATTTACACTGAGGTGGAATTACTTTGCCTTTCAGAAGTCAGGGGAAAGTCCTGAGTCAGTTGACTGTCATAACTAGGCATGAATACACCTATATACAAAGGTATATACAAAACAATCTCCATATAATTTTGAATATAGATTCTGATGAGTTTAACTCTGTCCACACCACCCTTTTGTCTTTCCAAGAGTAATCAGTGTGTCTTCCTGGCTACTTTGCCTAATTCTTGTCTTCTGATATTTATTTTCTCAAAGCTGGCACTTGTGCTAGGATAATTTAGTATTTTCCTCACACATTGCCAACATATACCATAAAATGCCGTTTTCTTCTCCATCAAAATATTGATTTCAATGTGAACTGTGGGTTCTCCCTTTATGGTGTTGCCCATACCATCAGTCTACTTAGAACCTCCCAAGTTTGGGTAACCATATCCTGGACTCTATCCTGTTACCAACATTAAAAATGCAACCAGCTATGAGCATTGGTCTCTGCACAGCCTTCTGTGTTTGATTTTACAACAGTTTTCATCACTTCCTTTCCTCTGAGCCTAAAAATGGTACTTTGAAAAGGCATGATCAACTTTGAAGAACAAATAATTCTACATTCTGTGAAAGCAGGCCAGACCTTTAATATACCTCCACAAATATGGCCTAAAGGTGTCCTTAAAAGTTCATCCCTAACATTCATGGCTGTACTGACTTTACTGAAACTGTCGTTTAATTCATGTTCTCACTCCAGCCACTGGTGGAGGCCTGGAAGAGACATGATATCAGAATCATCCACAGAGTTCTGTCTACTGCAGGCACATCATTTTCTGAATAATTTGGGGCTACTGCAAAGACCTTCTAAGAAATTCTTAGTAATAAACTGCCTATTCGCATAGAAGGTTTTTTGTACTGAAGTTTGGTTTTGTTGGTTGATATGCTTGTTCAGTAAACGATTCTGCCACACTATTCCTAGTTGAAAAAAAGTAAGAAAGTGAAGATTTGAAAAAGCATATAAGTATGGAATTTTCCTTAATCCCCCCTCCAGTGCCTGGGCTTTAGCATTAATAGATTCAAGGTGAACTTCCATGAAACATTAGTGTAGACTACAGTCAGAACAAAATTTACTAAAGGCACTTGCCTGATTAAACCTCTATATCAAATGTGCTTAAATTTTCTCTTCTTGTGCTTTGTTGGTTTTGCAAGTCTGTTATGTTGAATTTCTCTAATAATACTAATATCATCTATTTTATTACCTGTAAATATGTCCTTGGATATTATTTTTGCTTTCCAGAATAGAATTACAGCACCCTTACCTGGCTTTATTTTCCCATAGCAGCATCCCATTGTGATGGGCAGCTCTAGTTGCAGATTCTGCCCCTTGCAAATAATTATGTTAAGGCCTTCTCTGAGTAATCCCTCTCCAAGGCCTTTTTCCAATGCTTAACACTTACTTGAGACTGTTAAAAAGAAAACTCAAGTATATTAGACAAATGAAAAGAGAGTAGAAGAGAAGCATAGAAAAGAACTTGTATGAACTAAAAGTAATACACAGTTTTACACACTAACATTCAATTCTTTCTTAATTTAAAATTAGAAATGATTTTAATATTAAAAGTGAATTATGTTTTCTTATCTGCAAAGGGATCCAGGAAACTATTTTGCCTTTCAGCTATTCAGCAAGATATTTTTAGACTTTTTTAAAAAACTGTAATTTTTTAGTTTAAATAGATGAGATTTACTTAAATATAACGAAATATATTTATAGTTCCACCAAGGTTTGCAAATTCATTGTGTAAAATTTCAAAAACTGTTTTTTTTAGGTGTTTTATAACTGTAGTTGTATAGAAGCATCTGGATTTCCCAGCACAAATTTTACAGCCCATTTAGGTGAATGCCCAATACATGAGATTTGTAAAACGAACTATTATATTTATGTAAGTGTACAATTTTTGCTTGCTGTTTTTGGAGCAATGGGAAGTGTTTCACATATCATCCTTATTGTGAGGTAAGTATGACTTTAAAAATATTTTCATGTTATATTAGAGTGTGAGCATATTTAATGATGTATATGTTTTTCATATAATATTTGGGATCCAAATTCATGTCTGTACATTTTAATTAATAATATTTCTTCTTAAAATTATTGTGATACTTAGATGGAATAAATGATAATATTTTGTCTTTCATTCTTCAACTGTGGAATCTTGATTCCATGCTTTCTCCTTTTTCAAAGAATCCTAAGACATAGATTGACAGTTGCCCCAATTGTCAGAGAGTCACTGTGACTCCAGAACAATACTTTATTATGAGTTGTCTTCCATCCTCATAAGCCTGTCAAGGAGAATCATTTACTAGCTGCATTGAAAGAAAACACTTGTGCATCAGACCTATTTTTTCTTTTTTTTTTTTTTTTTGGTACTGGGGATTGAACTTGGGTCCTTGTGCTTGCAAGGCAGGCCACCGAACCACTGAGCTAAATCCCCGGCCCCATCAGACCTAATTTAATCCTCAGTCAATAATATTAATCCTAAGCTTTTCACCTACTTACAGAATGTGGTTTCACCTAGTCTCTCATAATACTGGTGTAGACAAAGGAAAAAAATGTGAAGAAAACAAAATTTTTCCTTAATAGTTAAATATTTTAAAAAGATACTATACTTAATGAAGAATATTCTGTGGTGTATAAAGTAAATAAGGTGCCTGTTGTGACTCATGTTAGGCTGAATATAACAGAAAATATTGGCAAGAGACAAATAAGCTTGAAAATACACATGGAGAATGTTCTTTATAATAATCAGGAAAAAAGATTGTTATTAAATGAAACAAACAGAATACTACTTTGGGGTGGGAGAGAGACAATGTGAGGGAGAAACTAAAAAAGTGTGACGTGTGATTCAGAAATGAAAAGATCAAGTAGCCAAGTGAAGGGCTATTTAGGGAGGTCCAGGTGCCCATGTCCTCAGGCAGGTAGGGACTAGAATTTTTGAGGAATGAAAATAAGTGTTGGTTGGAACACACTGAGAGGGACGTGGAACAGATTAGCTCCACTGAAAACAGTAGATGTAAATCTTGAATTATATATGCATATAAGTATGGCAACCTGGTAAATATCGAATTATGTCTTTAAAGCCTACATAGTTGACTATAATTTTACCATCAGCCAACAGGAAAGGGAACAAAAGTTCATAAATGTTGTTAAAATGAGTATAGACTTGTAAAGTGAGACTACAGGAATTTTGTTTTGTTTTGTTTTGGTACTGGGGAGACTACAGATATTTTAATTCTACTCTGACTCCTAATCTTCCTAAATTACTTATACTAAATTATTTCACAGATAGAGCTATATAACACATTAATATAAATTTCCTCCTCTAATAGAGAAACTTTGCTTATAGCCAAATTACAGATTCATTAACTTACAGAATATCACCTCAGTCATACAAGCTTGAATCTATTTCTTAATTTAAGCTGTCACTAGAGTTTTAGAAGATACTGTTTTATGATTAATGATAGTTATCTATGATTTTGTTTGAAATGTGGTTAAACCAACATTACACATTTTGAAAAACATTAACCTCTTACCAATATTTCATTGAAAAAACTTTCATGAAACTGAGTATAGAATAAAAATATACACTTGAGTCCATTAATGATTCTTCAGTGTTCTCGTCACATGGCTATTGCTAAAGTGAGGTTGAACGGGAATGGTGATATGTACTCATTCGATATCCATTTATTTCATGTGTCAGGCATAGATCTATGTGGTTATGAAATGTCTGTCACCAAAAGCTTGATTTAGCTTCCACTTTTTTGGTGTGTGTATGTGTGTGTCTTTGTGTGGTTGTTGCATATAGGAGAAAAACAGTAGTAAGCAAATAAGCATAATAAATAAGGTAAATGTTACACATTAGAAAGAAAAATAAATCACAGTACGAAAGAAAAGGTAAAGAGGCAGGTGAGCAATACTAGTTCAGATACTGTACATTGAAAAGCATGATAAGAGATTAAGATTAAGAGATCTGGATTACGAGATGAATTGGGAGAGTCCAAACCATACTAACATAGTGACAGGAAAAAGCAATCCAGGCAAGCTTACAGCAGAAGACCCTAAGACAGAGAATACTGCATTTGTATGAGGTCAGGAAAGGTTTGAGGAAGAAAAAACCGAGAAGCACAGCGAGAGAGCTAGCATAGTTCAGATCATGTGGGACATAGTCAAGACTTTGGAGTTCATTCTGAGTATCTTGGGAGGCCCAGAGAGAGACTGAGCACTAAGGTTGTACTGCTAACTTACCTAATTCTTCTATTCTTCTATTACTCTAGCTGAAATGTCAACCATCAATTGCGGTATGGCAAGGATAGAATCAGAGAAAAGAGGGGGCTCTAGTTATTGTCCACAAGAAGGGGCAAGACTGAAAAAGGTGATTTAAAAAATTAATTTTATTGGTACATTTGAGGTATACAATATAATGACATTCATCATTGGGAGTTTGTACCTTTGCAAGGTATATCTTGGCTCTTATTTTTTCCCCATTTCCCCACCCTCCCTTCAACCCCTCCACCCCAGCCTATTTATGAAGACTATGTGTCCATTTTCTCATGTTAATTCCATTTCCTTCTTTCCTTTCCCCTGCCTCTTCCACTTCCCCTTCCCCTTTGCACCTTTTCTTCCTATTCCACATTATCTATTACTATCTTTTGATCCTTATTTATACTTTCAGTTTCTCATACCAGAGAAACTATTCATTATTTACACGTGTGTCCTATTTATTTCACTTAGAAGTATAGCCTCAATGTGCATCCACTTAGCGACAAATGTCTCTAATTTCTCACATCACTGTGTTGTGATTCTTTTAATTCTTTTGGGAAGATACCCAATAGGGGAATAGTTGGGTCAAATGGAACCTCTAATCCTAGTTCTTTGAGGTATCTCTACTGATTTCCACAGTGGTTGCACCAATCTGCACTCCCACCAACAGTAGAGAAGGGTTCCTTTTTTCTCCACAGCCCCACCAGCATTTATTCTTGGTTGATTTCATGATAGCAGCCATTCTTTCTGGGATGAGGTGGAATCTCAGCATTGTTTTCATCTGCATCTCTTGAATGACCAGTAATGTTGAGCATTTTTTCATGTTTATTTGGTATTTCTACTTCTTTGTTTGAGAAATGTCTGCTCATTTCAGATACCCATTTTTGGATTGGATCTTTAAATTTGGAAGGTCTGATTTTTAAAGTTCTTTATATATTCTAGATAGTAGACAATTTGTCTGAGAAACAGCTGGTAAATTTTTTTTCCCACTTTGTTGTTGTCTCTTCACGCTGCTGGTGGTTTCTCTTGCTATGTAGAAGCTGTTTAATAAGAGATCCCAGTTGTTGATTCTTTGTGTTAGTTCCCATTCTACTGAGGTTTCTTCTGTGACCCATTGCTTGCTGAGGAGGGTGTTATTTATTTATTTCATTAAGTTTATTTGTACGTTTAAAGCAAACAATACAGTTACATTGATTATTGGGATCCTCTACCTTTATATGTTATATCTTGGTTCTTGTTTTCTCCCCATACCCCTGCCCTCCCTTCACACCCTTTACTCTTCCTTATTTACAAAGATGTTGTTTCCATTTTTTCTTTTTTCACATTTTCTCTTTTCCCTTATCTCTTTTCCCCTCCCCTTCCCACTTCCCCTTTAGCCATTTTCTTCTTATTTTGAAGAGGGTGTTATTTAATTTCTATGATTTTACATAGGAGTTTTAGTTTCTTTTGCTATTGATTTCCAATTTCACTGCAGTGTGATAATATGCATGAGATAATTTCAACTCCTTTGCATTTACTTAAGCAGGTTCCATAAGCTAGTGTTTGGTGTATTTTGGAGATATACATCTGAGAAGAATGTGTACTCTGATGTTGTGGGGTGAAACACTCTACAGACACCTACTAAGTCCATTTGTTCAAAGGTTTGATTCAATTCTGATATTTTGTTGATTATTTTTCTAGTTGATCTCTCTGTGACAGTAAGGTATTCCAGGTCCCTGTCACATGGAGTATTTTTTTTTCCATCCTTTGACTTTCAGTCTATGAATTTCTTTTTGAGTTAAATGTGTTTCTTGTAGGAAGCATATTCTTCTATCTTGCTTCCTACTCCATTCTGGCAATCTGTTTCTTTTGATTGTTGTATTGAGACCATTTGCTTTGATGGTTATAAGTGATATGTATTGACTTATCCTTATAATTTTTCCATTATTGGTTTCCTTTCTTTGACCTCCATCTAATTGGATGGCTAGCCTGATAAATTCATGCCGTTGGGGTTCATGGCATTGTAGTCTTCATTATGCCTCAGAACATTTTGGAATTCTAGTTTGGTAGTCATGGATTTCTTCAGATGTTCTTTGTTGTGGAAATCTTATTTCTGCATCAGTTTTCAAAGAGAGTTTGGTGGGGTACATCAATTTGGGTAGGAGATTATTTTCTTTTGTGGCTTGAAATGTTTTATTCTAAGCTCTTTTTGGCTTAAGAGTTTAAGTTGAAAAGTCTGCTGATGTGCTTTCCTTTATAGGTAATTTTTTTCTTTTTCTCTACCAGCTTTTATATTCTGCTGTTGTGCTAAATTGCTGGAATCTTGACTATTATGTGCCTTGGTGTAGATTTTATTTGATCATAGTTAATTCAAGTTCTCACTTATGTGCATATCAAATTCTTTTCCCATGCTTGGGAATTTTCTGCCACTACTTCTGTGAATAAGTTTTTTATGTCATTTGTTCTAGCTCCATTGATCTTCATTGACTTTGATCAAACTTGTTATTTTTCTTTGCATCATATAGCAGCTGTTGGACTGATATTTTGCTGTCCCTTGCTATTTTTAAAAATTCTTTCATGATTGCTAACCACAGACTTGTCTTCTAGATCTGTCCTCACACTGATTCATTCTGCTGCATATACTTTAAATTTTAATCTCTTGGAAATCTATTTGAATCTGTGTCCTGTATTTCATTTCCTTCTTATATTGAACTTTCATGATTTTCATAATTTTCCTACGCTATTCTTTTTTTTTTTTAATCTGTATCTACTCTACATTCACTAACAAAGTACTTTACTCTGGTCATCATCTCTTTAAAAATCTGCAAAATTATTTCTAATTAGATTTTTTTCGAGAGCCTCCTTCACCTGCTTTGTTACTTTCACTGGAACCATTTCAGAGAGTTCAGATGGATGGTTTTTTAATTGTTCCACCTCACTGCCCCTTGGGTTTTCTTTAGGCAAGCTGGAAGTCTGGGATTGCATTTTGCTTCCATGTCTTCTCATTTTACATTTTTTAAACTTATTTTTTGCATTGATAGTTGTAAATTGCTTGTGTTACATAGATTTATTGTTTGCACTGAGAACTCCTTAAGAAATGGTTACTTTTCAACAAAGTATTCTAGATGTATCTGGCTCTTGGCTTTTGAGTCAGCTGCAAGATCCCACCTCTTCAACTTATTGGAAATAAAATTTTTCTGGCTCTTCTGCACTGTTGGTGGGAGTGTAGACTGATGCAACCACTAGGAAAATCAGTGTGGAGATAACTAAAAAATTAGGATTAGAGGTTCTATCTGACCCTGCTATTCCCCTGCTGGGTATCTTCCCAAAAGAATTTAAAGAATCACATCACCCATGTTCGTAGCTGCACAGTTTATAATAGCTAAAACTTGGAAACAGCCCAATTGCCCATCAACTGGAGACTGGATAAAGGAATTTTAAAAACATAAAATGGAGTACTACTCCACTATAAAGAATGAGAAACTAGAAGGGTGAAGGGGTTGAAAGGAGGGCAGGGGTATTGGAAAAAAAATAAGAACCAAGACATATCATGTGAGGTACAAGATCCCAATATTAAATGTAACTGTATTGTTTTCTTTAAATGTACCAATAAACAATGGGGGAAAAGAAAGAATGAGAAACTAGACATTTATAGCTAAATGGGTGCACATTTAGGCCATACTCAAGTGAAACAAATAGGACACACATGTGTAAATACCAAATAGTGCCTTTGGTATGAGGAACTGAAAGTGTAAATAAGGATCAAAACATGTAATAGATAATGTGAAATAGGAAGAAAATGTATAAAGGGGAAGTGGGAGGGAAAAGGGAAAGGAAAGAAGGGAATGGAATTAACATGAGAAAATGAAAAAATGGAAACAAAGATTTTGTAAATAGAGAGGGGTGGAGGTGTTGAAGGGAGGGCAGGGGAATGAGGAAAAATAAGAATCAAGATATATTATGTAAATGTACAAATTCCCAATAATGAATGTTATTATATTGTATACTTAAAATGTACCAATAAAATTAATGAAAAAAAAAAAAAGAACTTGCATTCTATTTGGCCTAGCCTCTGGTTCTTTGGTACTTGCCTACAATATTGTTTATGACCATCAGGCAATCTGGATCTTGGCATAAAAGAAAGAAAAATTGATTAGAACAACTATGGCACCTCTGGAAAAGTAGTACAATCAATATAACAGTATCATCAAGCACAGCCTAGAAAATGATAAAGTATGGTAACTATTAATTTGAAACTTTTAACCACGTGGACAAGATTTGTTGTTATATAACAAAATTTAAAACAAATCAGAAAGTTGTATACAGTAAATACCCCTTAAAAGTGATTTTACCATTAAAAGAGAAATTTTGAAAGGAATAAGAGGAAAAAATAGAGAAATAGAATCAGATAAAGAGATTAGAAGCAAGCATAAAAGATGAAGAAAGGTTACAAAAGCTTTGGGAAACTGATGAAAAAGACAGGAGGGAAGGAAAGAAGGAAGAAACAGAAAAAAGAACAGAGCAAAGCAACAATAATAAACTAGAAATAATATTCACACACATAAAAACAAGAAGAAACAAGAAAAATAAAAGCAAAGAAAGGCAATGAAAAATGCCTACTTCAGGGCATGTGTCTGTTGTCATTGGTAGATAAAGGGGCAGACAGAGCCCAGATCCATATTGGTTGACCCCAGAAAAGTGTATAGTATAATTACAGCGTGTGGAGGGATAGATAATCCCAGCAAGCCTTTACTTTCAAGTCCACTGAATTTAAGGCTAACCTTGGTTTCTGGCTGTGAGACTGGGACCTGACTTGTTCAGCACACAACATTTTAGGTGCCTCTTGCCAGCTTGAACTTACCTCCCTGACCCTCAGTGTCTTCCATGGTGTGCCTCACCACGACACTGGTAGCTCCCAGTTAGAGGCAACTCACAGTTGCTCTGAGTACTATGCTCAGCTTGTCCATTTACAAAATGGTGATGAGTAACTCACCTTCTCCTGGGGACATGTGAACCGAAATCACTCACAAGCCGCTTTAGCCCACAGTGTCTACTGCTTCTTTCCACTGATTCTTTCCTCCATGGATTCCTCAGTAGATTCGAAGTGCCTCTTCCACAGTGTGAGCTGGGATTCAGGATGAAAGCACCAATTGCCATATCTCTCTTTGTTCTTTACCTGGGCTTCAATTCTCACATCAGATCCTTTGTCCCAGGGACCCACTTTTCTCTTTCCTATCTTTTCCATGTTGCTATGTTCCCACAGCTGGATTCAAATCTTCAGAGAGCCTTATTTGATGCTGCTCACCCCTCCACCTTCTTCCCAGAAGTCCTATGTTTAATTTTTATTACTGTGTTTAATTTAGTTTTGCACTATGCAGTTTTGTAAGCTCTCAAATCCTTTTTCATTCTTTCTCTGTTTTGTTGTTGTTGTTGTTTGTTTTTTGAGACAAGCTTTCATTATTGTCCAGTCTTGTCTTAAACTCAAGAGCTTAAGTGATCCTCCTGCCTCAGCCTCCCAAAGAGTTGGGACTACAAGAGTATGCCACAACCCCTAGCTTTCTCCAATACTTTTGTGAGCCTCAACAACTCCTAGTTCTCCTGAAAGAATTACTGAACAAATTCCTGTGAATAAAGTTGAGGTATAATGTGTTTGCTCATAGCATTGGACTCTCACAACATATGAGATGAGAATTGTTATGTCCCCTTAGCAGGTGAAGGAAATAAGGCTAAGAGAGGTTTTATATCTTTTTTCAAGTCACATAATATGAATCATCTTTTTCTCTTATTTTCAAAAACAAAAGCTAGTATGACATCTTCCAGGAGGCACTTAGTAAATGTTTGTTGAATGCTAAGAAAATAGTAAGAGGAAAAGAAAAACAGAACTGTATCACCCAGTTCAATATTTCAGTAAAAATGAATTTTATTTTGAGTTGCAATCTCTCTCCTAAAGTGAGGCCACCATTTCCATTACTGTCAGATAATTTTATTTTGCTGGATATGTATTAGCTTATCACAGGGCTAGTGGTGCCATCAGCTTCCTGAAAACAGCAAGATAGAATTGTGGGAATAATTTTCTAAATGTAACAGTGAGTGATTTTTCTAACTGTGTATTGAAATGTGCTTGCATAGTTAAAATAATAGTGACCCTAGATAGTAGAATACAGACAACATTTTCTACTATTCTGGCTGTGTTATGTAATTCATTAAATAGGATAGAAAAGCTTTCTGTTACGTGAGTGACAGAAATAAGGGTGGTAAAAAGGTGTGCTGAGACCTACGCCTAGGTAAAGCACTGTGTCCACTGAACAGACACTGTATGGACAGTGTTTTCATAGGCATCACAAAGTCTGTTATAGTCATGTTCTCATGGGATTTTCCTAAGGATGAAATGTGAAAATTCTTATGAATTTATCTCGAAAGCATAAAACAACAAACACATAATGTAATAATTATTATCACTGGAGTGTGTACTTTTTAAAACTGAAGATAATAACTATATGATGTGAGGGTTTTCAGTCAACACAAATAAAAATGACACAAGAATATTTTAATATTGAAGTATGTTTGGTATTTTAAAGATGTTTAATGTTTATCTGTTTTTGTCTTATTTCAGAATTGTTCAACCTGAATTGAAATCTCTTGCAATGGGTTTCCATTCACTGATTATACGAACACTAGGTATGAGAAATATATTAAGTTCAGAAGATAAATATTCATGTCAAAGCACAAAAACTGAATGTTTTTAATTCCTGATCATATGAAAGTTTAAAAAAAGTGTAAAAGAGAAGCATTTTTTTAATGGTAAGATAATAAACAGAAGACAGGAAGACTGTATGACCTTAAAGAGAATTTGATTGGTAATTCTAAGATCAACCTATTAAGACAAAAGAATCATCATATTTGTGTTACATGCTTTATATTATATGTATATTTGTATTGCATGCTTTAAGACAAAGATATGCAGTCCCTAAGAATTTTCTACTGAGGAATATTTCCTTCAGGTAGGCAGAGTGGAGGGCCTTTTTTCTAAAAGGAGTCACTATGTAGGTAAGCAGCTTGGGAGTCCTGAGAATTTGATCCAGCTGAGATTGTGCAAAGTAATAAAAAACTGAGATTGCTCGCACAGCTTTTTACTGTTAAGTCTTTTCTTTTTCAGAATCCTTTTATTTTTTTATTTATCTATTTTCTCTCATTGAGTTTATTGATACATTTTAGGTATACAGTACAGTTGCATTCATCATTGGGATCTTGTACCTTTACATGAGAGGTCTTGGTTCTCATTTTTTCCCCATACTCCTGCCTTCCCCATTTACAAACACTTTATTTCCATTTTTTCATTTTCTCATATTTTTTATTTTCTCTTATTACCTTCCCCTACCCTTCCCACTATTAAGTCTTGTAAGGCTGGATAGCTGACTGTTAGCAGAAGTTCAAACTGAAAAGGGGATGACAACCTGGACTCGAATTAAGCATCTGATTAAGAGAAAATTTTAAAATAAACAGAGCTTGGAATATTGTGAAATTTACTAGCAAAGAGTAGGACCATAAGCTCTAGAGGATAAGGGCTTATTTTTAACTATTCAGATGAGGTGATTTGTCAGAGATTTAGGAAATCATCTTCTTTACCTAGTTGCCACTTGCCATTTTCATTCCCAGATGCCTACTGTTATTTTAACTGCTTCTAACCTATCCCTTGTGCATAATATTTTGTAAGATTTCGAACTATTTTATGCTCACCCTTCATCTGGGTATTGGGCAGAGGACGCATCAGGGGTCAGAGGCAACCACTGGCGGGAAAACTTAAGGAAGTAGGAGGAGCAAATCCCTGGGTCCTCTGGAAGCCAAGGAAAGAAACATAAGATTTCAGTCAAATTACAGTGGAAACCTTGACAGGAAGTACATTTGAAGAAAATGTCACAGATCCTCAAAGGTGGAAAGAACTGTAGGGAATGACAGGGAGGAGATGATGGAGGTGCCATGAGTTTCCACACCAATTCTTTCTGCAATATTTTCTTCTGTGCATCTATATCAGGCAGCCTCTGTACCTGACAGCATTTTCCTACCCCCCAACCCTGTGGAGCTGCCTCCCTCCTAGTAACACAGAAGCTTACCATAGAATCTGAGTGGTTAGTACTCCTTCTCATATATTGACACAAGACCATGAGAATTAAAGAAATTCTACCAACAAGTTAGAATTTTATTTTTATTAATTTATTTTATTTTTTTGCTCTGCTGGAGAATTGAACCCAGGACCTCATATGTCCCAGGGAAGTGCCATGCTGTGGAGCTACAGCCTCAGCCCAACAACATAACATTTTTTAAAAGAAATTTTGCCATTCAAATGTAATTTGCCATTGTAATTATGATTGATGTGTCCTATACCAGGCTCAGTGAAATACAAATGCTTCCATGGCAAAATACAAACTGAAGACCAAATTTGTAATTCACAAAAAATTGTCTTGAATAAAATATAGTTATGAATTGTAAAAGGCTATATAGTTCATCAGAAAAAGAAAAGATTAGCTCAGTGGTTCGGCGGCCTGCCTTGCAAGCGCAAGGACCCGAGTTCAATCCCCAGTACCAAAAAAAAGAAGATTAAAAAGAAATGAGCTTATATACATATAATGCTCCTTCTTCCTTATATGCACTGGGAAGTTTAGTGTAGATAAAAGATGTGTGTGAGCTGGGTGTAATGGCCCATGGCTGTCATCCCAGCACTCGAGAGGCTGAGGCAGGAGGATTGCTGTGAGTTCAAGGCCAGCCTGGGCTACATAGTGAGTTCAAGGTTAGCCTGAACTACATAGTGAGACCCTGTCTCAAAAAAAAAATTGTGTAAGATTACTAAGTGGTACATAGGTTCATGAACATAATTTGTTCCAAGATTCTGGGGAAGATGGCTGTGTTCATGTTTGTGTAGGTAAGGTGGCCTCAGTCATGTTCCTTTCCCAATGCAGAAGCAAAATTTTGCAGAACACTTCTGTTTCCAAAATGAATTGTTCATAGACAGAAGAGTTCATGAGCTGAGGTGTTACTGTGTATGATGTGGGTCTTTGTAGGTCCCTATATTCTTGATTTTTGCATATAATTAGGCCAACATGATGAGTCTTCCAAACTTTTCACCTTTTCTCACTGTAAAATGGATCAATTTAGCATGCTACCCTGTTTCACTTGAAATATTCTGTGGATTGATGGCTTTTCATTCCATGTTCCAGGAGGAATACTATCTCCAATATATTTTGGGGCCATGATTGATACAACATGTATAAGGTGGTCTGCCCCCACTTGTGGATCAAAAGGTGCCTGTAGGATGTATAATTCAATATTATTTGGGTGAGTTGCCATATATGTATTTCATTCGTTGATTTTTTCCTTTGAGTATGTTAATTCCAAAAGTATATCATTTTGAATATAGTAATATATTAATAATGAAAGTCACCACTTAATGAATCCTTAGTTGGTAATCAGTAATATATTAGACAGTGAGGAAATTCATCTTGATACTTCTAATAACTATTGTTAGTGTTAGGGTTAGGAATTCAAGTGTTGGAATTCAAGTGCCTGAGTATTGGAGTGTGGGTATTAAGGTTAGTGTTTATTATAGGGTGAGGGCTCGGGATAGTGTCAGGAATAGTGTTGGAATTCAAGAAACTGAGGATTGGAATCTGGGTATTACTGTTAGGGTTATGATTAGGCTTAGGTATAGTTTTAGAATTCGTGTAACAGTACTGGACTGTGGGTATTATTGTTAGGGCTAATGTTAGTGTTAGGCTAGGGATTGTTTTGGAATTCATGTATCGGCTTATTGCAGAGCGGGTATTCCTATGGTGATATTTATTATGGTTAGTGTTATTATTAGGGCTATGGTTAGGTATAATGCTGGAATTTCAGTGTCTGAGCTTTGGAGTGTTGGTATTATGGCTTGAGTTAGTCTTATGGTAAGGGTTAGTGTTAGGTTTAGGAATAGTTTTGAAATTCATGTACCTGCATATTGGAGTGTGGGTATTTTTAGGGTTAGAGTTGGGATTAAGGTTAAGTTACGGTTAAGTACAGTATTTGAATTCAAGTACCGGACTTTGGAGTGTGGGTATTATGGTTATAGTTAGGGTTAAGAAAAGTTTTGGAATAAAAGTAGCTGAGTATTGGAGAATTGGCATTATTGTTAAGGTTAGGGTTAGGTTTATGTTATGGTTATGGTTAAGTTAATGTTTAGGTATACTGCTGAAATTGAAATACATATTAGGGTTAGGGTTCGTGTTAGGGACAGTGTTAGAATTCAAGTACCGAGTATTAGAGTGTGGTTATTATGGTTCATGTTGGTGTGAGTGTACAGATTAGGGTTAGGTTTAATAATAGTGTTGTATTTTAAGTCTCTGAATGTTGGAGTATGGGTATTGTCATTGATGTTAGCATTAGTGTCAGGTTTATGCTTAGGTGTAGGGTTAATGACAGTCCTAGAATTCAAGTATCTGAGTTTCAGTGTTTGGGTATCATGGTTAGGGATTGGGTTAGAGTTAGGGATAGTGTTGAAATTCAAGTACTTGAGTATTGGAGTGTGGGTATTATTGTTAATGTTTGGCTTATGGTTAGGGATAATATTGTAATTCAAGTACCTGAGTATTGGTGTGTTGGTATTATGTTTAGTGTTATTGTTAATGTCAGGGTTAGGGTTAGTATTTGCATTAGGTTAAGGGTTAGGAATATTGTTAGAAACGATTTACCTGAGTATTGGATTGTGGGAATTATGGTATGTGTTAAATTTAAGATTATGTTTAGGTTTAGTTTAGGTAGTTTGAATTTAATCACTTGAGAATTTCGGTGTGGGTATTAGTTCTAGTGTCAGGATTTGAGTTAAAATTTTTCATAGTGTTAGGCATAAAGTTGAATTTTAAGTGCCTGATATTGGAGTATGGGTATTATGGTTAGGGCTAGGGTTGGTATAGGAGTAGTTTTAGATTCAGTGTTGATGTTAAAGTACCTTACTATTGGCATGTGGGAATTATGATTAGTGTTAGTGTTTGGCTTAGGGTTAGGATTAGGTTTTGTGTTAAGGATAGTGTTGGAACTCAAGTACCTGAGTGTTGTAGTGTGGTGATTTTTTAAAATCCTTTTTTCTTGAATATGCAAATTAGATTAGAGAATAATAACTAACGTCTAAATTCACCTAGCTGAAAGAAAAAGAGCTTGGATTCAATTCTTTTGTTTCCTAAAGTTCTCCTCATATGAAAATACTATTTTTTTTTGGTTTTTTTTGAGAGAGGGTCTCACTATGTAGTTGAGTTGAGATTGACCTGGAACTCACTATGTAGCTCAGGCTGGTCTTGAACTCACGGCAATCCTCTTGCCTCAGCCTCCCGAGTGCTAGGATTACAGGAGTGCGCCACCACACCTGGCTTTATACATATATGAAATCCTCTCTTCTCTCTCTATAGATGCAGATATAGATATAAATGTAGATATAGCTTTATGTATGTATGCCTTTTATATTTAAAATATGTATAAAATATATAAAAACGTATATATATAAAATATGACATAACATAAAATATATATGTATGAAATTTGTATTTATATAATGTATATACAAACATAAAGTATATATGAGTATATGAGTCCATAAAAATGTATATATATTTCAGAAAAAACAAAAATTTGTATAAACATTTCAATACTAAATTTATTGAGATGTTATGAGATTAATAAGTTACCTTTGGCCTCTACAGTTACAGGAGGTGCTCAAAGTAGTGTACATTAGCTTCAAGATGTTTATTACAAAAAGTATGTATGGTTGCCTTGTCAACATTGGTAGACTCATCTACTCGTGTTGCATCCCACATTGTCTCATTAATCTTCTCTAATAATGGAACCTCAGTTTCATGAATTTATCTAGTCATCGTGTTGGCTGGAACAGCAACCTGTGCCACCTTTCAAATTCTGCCCTCTTCTAAAAGTTCATGACAAATATCTTGAGAAGTAGGCAGGATTAACTCTTCACTAATACAAAAGGATTCTTTAGCATTAAAAATGTGGTTAGGCACTACAATGATTCTCTCAGTACAAACACTTTTGATGAAGTAGTGACCTCCAAGAAGCTTCTGTTTTCCATATTCACATTTTTTATATTAAACTCCAAAGAATTTTTTAAAAAAAACATTCAGAGTTCTTGATCTTCATGTGGCAAAGCAAGTTTGAAAGTTTCCTGGCTTGCTTGGATAGCCAGTAACCACATATTACATAAAAACGGGCTTGGAGAATGTGAATTACCTGTTACAATGAATTGAATTTACATAGGACTTGATATTTTCTTTAATATCAGACTTCTTTATCTGGTAAGTTTTGAGGTCTTCTGTTATTGCCTCACAGAGTCTTTCCCCCTTGTTCCCTCTTCAGTGACATTTGCTTTTCACACATTTTGGCTAGGCATAGCTTGTGGATTTACCAAAACTATTACAGAGATAAGTGCAGAGTGTGGGAATGATGTGCACATGGAAGTGATAAATAAGGTGTGGGTCATGCATGGACTAAAAGTTTTGGATTCTGATTTAAAGCCTTCCACAGGTGCAGCTGTACAATTGAAGTACATCCACTGATTTGCTAATATAAAGCTCATCACCTGTTGGAGTGTAACTGTCACTTCCACTGACTCATAGGATTTTGATATGAGTCTGCAAGCAGTAGATTCATAATGTCTCTGTGTAGTCGAACCTTCTGCTCATTTTAACGTATATTTGCAACCTCTCTCCAGAGCTAGCATCATGGCTTCAGCTTCACCTCACATCATCAGGCATTAGATTCTCTTTAGGAGAAAGCACAGGTTTATCACTCAAATTTGCAATTTGCAGGTAGGGTTTGTAGTCATACGAGGATCTAATGCCTGTACTGCTGATGTGACAGGAGCTCAGGTGTAGTAGGGAATGTCTGTAAATGCAAATGAAGCTTCACTTGCTCACCTCACTAAGCTTGTGCTGTGCAACCTGGTTCCTAACAGGCCATGAACTGAAACTAGTTTGATACTAGGGTGGAAGATCCTTGCAATTATGGATTTTAGAGTGTCAAAGAAGCCTGTCATGTCTGAATACATCACACTTTTTCATGGTGTATATTTTAAGTAAATTGCTCAAATTGATTTGCTGCTTTGTTGAAAATTTTGGCATCTATATTCATGAGAGTTAATAATCTGTTCTTTGTTTTACCTTGTAATATCCTGGTCTAGTTTGAGGATGAAGATAATTTTGGCCTAATAGAATGAAACAGGAAGACAGATTGTAGAAAATTTGTATAACTTTTGGTATAAATCACCTGTGATTTCATCTGGACCTTGTGCTTTAAAGGGTTATTCATTGTTATCGATTCAATTTTGTTATATATAGTCCTATTAAGAGTGCCTATTTCTTCTCTGGGGAGTTTGGGTAGATTGTGTCCTTAAAAAAATCCATTCATTTTTATCTAGGTTATTAAAATTGTAAGCATAATTCTTTCCATAGTACATTATTATTTTTTAATGCCCCTAGACACTATAGCATTGTATCCTTTTTCAATTTTGATATTAGTAATTTGTGTCTTTTTTTCTTCTTTTTTTTCCCATTGTGTTTATTGGTACTTTTTAGGTATACAGTACAGTTACATTCATCATTAGGATCTTGTTTTGTTTTGTTTTTTTGTTTTTTGTTTTTTGAGACAGGGTCTCACTATGTAGTTGAGACTGACCTGGAACTCACTGTGTAGCCCTGGCTGGTCTTGAACTCACAGCAATCCTCCTGCCTCAGCTTCCTGAGTGCTGGGATTACAGGCTTGAGCCACCATGCCCAGCTCAGCATTAGGATCTTGTACCTTTACATGACAGGTCTTGGTTCTCATTTTTTCCCAATACCCCTGCCCTCCATTCAGCCGCTCCACCATCCCCTATTTACAAAGACTTTGTTTGCATTTTTTCCTTTTCTCATATTTTTTCTTGTCCTTTATTTCCTTTCCCCATCTTTCCCACTTATTTTTTTCTTCTTATCCTGGTCAGAATCTTATAGATTTTATTAATCTGTTTTTAGAAGGAGCTTTTTTTTGTTAGTTTTTTTTGCATGGATGTCTTGCTTTCAATTTTATTGTTATCTGTTCTAATTTTTATTATGTATTTCATTCTGTTTATTTAAGTTTTAATTTGCTTTTACAATTCCAGTTTTCTGAATTGGAAACTTTGTTAGTATGTGTTTGCAATATATAATGTTTATATTCCATATGTGAAGTTGGAATAGTTACATAACAGAACTTTATTTTTAGTTCCTATTTGTGTCTTTTTCTGTATGTTGTGGTTTCACTTAAGAATTTTTTATAATTGCACCTCTCTTTCTTAGAGTATAAGTTATGAATCTTCAAAAAATTTTTATTGCTTGTCTTAAAGTTTGCAATACACATTTATATCTAATCTTAGTTTACCTTCAAATAATACTACATAATTTATTGATAATATAAAAATTACCTAATTCTTCTTTTCCATCTATTTTCTCACTGCTCTCATTCATTTGCCTTACATATAAGCATTTATAAGCACTGTATAGACATATATATTATATATAATCAAATATATTGCAATTATATTGAACATATATTTATCTGTTAGATCAACAAAGAATAAGAAAAATAAATTTTTCTTTTTCTTTTACTTTGTTATTTCATCTCTGCAGCCTTCTCTGTATATGTAAATATATATATATATCCTTATATATCCCCTATATATTCTTATAAATATGTATTCATATATATATATATATATCCTTATAAATATAGCCTTGTTTCTAAGCTACAGCTGCTTCTCAACTTAAAATGGTGTCATATCTAAAAAATCTCATTGTAAATTGAACAAACTATAAGTTTAATTTGCATTTAATGCACCTTACCTAACCCACTAAACATGACATCTTAGAAGAATTTGCCTTTAACATGATTAGTACACTTATGTTACCCTTCAGTTGAGCAGAATCAGCTAATGCCAATCATATTTTGTAATGAAATGTGGAATCTCAGGTATATAGACAGAAGAACTGCAGCAATCATAACCCTAAGTACAAACCATAGAAAATCAAAATTAAGACAGGCTCCTGAAAGAACTCAGAACAAAAATTACCTTACTGGAATATTACACTTCACTAAGAAACCGTGCAAGCAAGAAATACATGGAGTATACACAAATGAGCTTTTTGTAGACATGGTGGAAGTGAAATCACTAAACACAGTATCAAAAAGAAAATGCTAGCAACATAGTGCATTGTCAAGTATGAATCTCTTACTTTTATAATTGTGTGGTGGACCAGAAGCTGATGCTTAAATCCATCCCAGAAAAAGACTAATTCCTTAGGAATGTGGTATAAATTGTAGGAAGAGTATTAGCATTCTATAGTCCTGTGAGTCTCAGTTTTTTATTTTGCCTCTAACTTTGTTTGCTGAGCATTAATCATGACTCTTAGTACTTCCCTACTCCCTTAGGTGGGACAAAATTATTTGACAGTCTTGGATTTGTCTATCTTCCTCAGCTGGAGTTGAGTATCAGTGTCTTTGTGATCCTTTAAAAGTTATGCAAAACTCCTGTATCTTGATGAAAAGAATTACTGGAATTGTTGTCTTCATGTTTTTATATATAATTAAAAAATTTCTCAATGAGATTTGCATACTACAGAAATAGTAAGTTATTGCACACAATTTGAAATGCTAATCTACTCTTTCTCTTTTTTATAGAAAGTCATTTTTGAGTTTGACTTCATCCTTAAGATTTGTATCATTTATTTTTCATTTTTCATTCCTTCATTTTCTGAAGAAAAAATATGAAGTAAAAGAAAGCAAGACATTGGAAAATGGAGGAAAAGTCATGAATGAAGCAAACTTAGAATCCTCAAATAACAACAAATATTTTGAACCTTCTGCAACTGTCAAAGAAACACATATTTAAGGGAAGAAAAGATCCTTCTTTCCCTGTTTCCAGAAAATAGTATATTGATGCAGTAAAATGCTATTTTTCAATTCCTGGTCATTTCACTGAGTATTCCCATAATGTACACTGATAGAAACTGAAAAGGGTTATTATGAATAAAACAATAAAGAAAAAGAAATAGGAATAGTTATCGTTTGGGTACTGCTATGCACCTGTGGTTAACATTGCAATATATGATTCATGAAAATCTAAAATGAGAGGCCTGGTTAATGTTTAAAAGAAAAAAAGATAATTGTAACTCTTAATAAAATCAGTAACTAGAAAGTAGGTAGAGATTAAAAAAAAAAAAGGAGAGCAATTTGTAGCCTAAATAAGGCCAAAAAAAAAAAAAAAGGCTGGTATCTTAGAAAAGAGAGTGGATAATGTTATTCTAGCCTGAAGTCTAGCCTGATGGAGGGTTCATGAAATCTTGATACATTTTATTCATATAAGTCACACATTTCACAGACATCATTAATTGAAAATTTGAAATTGTGTCTAATGAACAAGGCACATCTTCAAGTGAAATATTGCTGAAGAAATTGAGATACTAAAAAATTTACAAGCTCTGATTATCAGAAAACATATTAAAGAATGTAAATTTCTATTGCAGACATAGAAATGGATTAAGACTAGCTGACTTTAACTGCAAAAAGCAAATATTATTTAATAGATATGTATTAATTTTACCTGTCTTCTCTCTGGCAGACATGTGTTTTTAAAAATTTCTTCAGTCATTTTTTGTTTGAAAAAAATATGGTGTGAAAAACCCCATATTTTTATATTTCTATCAGGAGAACAAGAAGTAGAGTGAATGAGAACAAATATTTGAATGGTGTATTCTCTAGTGACACTGACTCATAATGAAACCTAGAGGTTGTACATTTTTCCATTCTCATTGTTTGAAAATATTTTATGCTTTGTTTGTATTAGGATCACCTGTGAAGTTAAAAAATATACAATAATATTTGACTCCAACCACTTAGATTTTTTTTCAGCTTTAATTGAGTTTATTGGTACATTTTAGGGATACAGTACAGTTACATTCATTGTTGGGATCTTGTACCTCTACATGACAAGTCTTGATTCTCATTTTTTCCCCCTTGTTCCTGCCCTCCCTTCACCCCCTCCTCCCCTCCCCATCTACAATCACTTTATTTCCATCTTTTCATTATCTCACATTTTTTTCTTTTCCCTTTTTATCTTAATGTCAGTAATCTTATTAGGATCTTCTGTATTATTGCAGATTATTCACACCAGAGAAACTATTTGGTATTTACACATGTGTGCCTTATTTATTTCACTTAGGAGTATATCTTCAATATGTATCCATTTTCCTATGAATGAATCTATTTTCTCATTCTTTATGGCTGAGTAGTATTCCATTTTATAGAAAAACCACATCTTCTTTATCCAGTCTCCAACGGATGGGCAAATTGGCTGTTTCCAAATTTTAGCTATTACAAACTGTGCCGCTATAAACATGGGTATGCATACTTCTCTGTGATATGATTCTTTTAGTTCTTTTGGAAAGATACCCAGCAGAGGGATGGCTGGGTCAAATAGAACCTCTAGTACAAGCTCTTTGAGGTATCTCCATATTGATTTCCATAGTGTCCAACCACTTAGATTTAAAACATCGATAATGCTGTCTGCACACAGCATATAAAAATTTCTGTTTGTAATGGTTGAAAACAAAGTACAGGTTAAGAGACGATATATGTGTGAGTAGAACAATTTCATGAATGCTGGCTTGAAGCTAAAAATTGTCCCTGAAGTCATACTTATTAACCTATTTTCAGGCTGTAGATTTGAGAAAAAATTTATTAATCTAGCAGAAATTTGGGACAAAACCCATACATACTAGGTTATTGGGTGTCAAATAAAAAATTATGCTACTTGGAAGATATGTTATAATATGGCTCATTAAAAATAAATAGAAATATTGTGGGACTGTTTTTAAAAATCTTATTAAGAAAATAAACAATATCTTAAATGTTATTGAATTATCATTAAATGCCAGTTATTTGTCCAACAGAATTGGATGAGAAGAAGTAAAGACACAAATGACACTCCTTTTTTAGCATACTCTTTAAAGGGGGAGATGGACATTTAAAACTAAATATGTAATATTATAAATTAAAATAACTTACAAATATTCAGTGAAAGAGGAACGTTATTATAAAATAAACCTCAATTTACTTGACTGACTGAAGAATCTCAGAATCCATAAAAATGCTAATCATTAATCCAGTAACATTTATGAAACAGAAATAAAAGTTTCAGGAGAAAATTGACAATAAATTCAATAAAGAGATGAATATGGCAAGGCAAATTTTCAAGGAATTAAGATAAGCATACATTTAAAATGTACATTGAATAAGGTTAAAAGAGACAATAACTGAAAATAGCAAATCATTGATGGCATTAAATTTAAATTCTCAGTACTAACAATGTGGAAGAAAATGATAGAGGGAATTTGTGAAAGAAGGTCTTAGAAGGAAACCTGAAGCATTAACCTTTAAAAAGGTTGAAACTGATGAGAAAGAAATGCAATAAGAGTAAAAGCATTAGTCAAAGACACAATGGAAGAATGACTTCCTCCTATGAATATGATAAACATGTAGACCAGTCTCCATTTGCACCCTATCTCCCCACCTCTGTTTTTGTGCAATAAACCTTTTACCATGCTCTTTCTTTTTGCTAAAATAGTCTTTGTTTTCTCCATTTATCTATTTTTCAGTGTTCAGATCACCCTTCCCTAAAATTTTCTAATATCATTGCTTGTTGAAAGTAAATATCCATAGCAGCATAGCACTTACCAAATGATAATATGGTCAAATGATAATTAGATATTTATTTATGATTATTATATAACTAAAGACTCTCAGTAGTCATAAACTGCAGGAAAATAGAAATTGAATTGTTTTACACATTGGATATAAATAGACATTACTGATTAAGGGGGGCTAAGAGAGTGTTAATTTAGGGAATAATTTCAAGTACTCATGAAGGCTGAGAGATCGCAGGCCATCTGCCAGCTGGAGACCCAGGGAGGCCAGTGGCATAGCTGAATCTCTGCTCAAAGTCCTCAAACCCATAGAAGCAGATGGTGTGCCTCTCATTTAAAGGATTAAAGTCTGAGAAGGCTGGAAGTTCTCAGCTAAAAGTCCAGGAGTCATGTTCCAGGGCAGGAAAAGAAGGGTATCCCAGCTCCATGACAAAAGAGATAGAGAAAAACTTCCTTTCCTCTGCTTTTGTTGTTGTTGTTGTTCTGTCCAGGACCCAGGACTTAGGGCTCTAGACAATTAGATGGTACCTGCCCACATTAAGAGGATCTTTCTGCTCAGTCTGTGACCTCGCTAAGTACAGGGGATAAAAACATTTAGAAAACAAAGTTTTCCTGTTTCGCGAGCTCACAAGTAAAGTGGAGGGCTAGACATGTGAATGTTATAATAAAATAAAACTGTTGATGTTTCATTCAGAGGGACCATGGTAATCTGTTTCAAATTTAATGTGTGTACTTTTGGAGATTTACCAAAATAAAATGATCAATAATGATAAGAAATCTGGCAGGGGTCATTGTCATTTTACTCTTGTGGTCCTTCTATTACTTCTGAAAAGACTTTGCTACTACATGGAAACCAGCACTCAACCTGATGCTAAGATGATGCTACACGTGATGTGATTTTAGCAAAAACAGAGCACTCCTGACCACTACTCCACATTCATTCCTCACACTGCTAACCGGGCTCCATCATAGCACTCGTTATACCAAATTTCATCATTAGAAGTTTCTGTGAATTATGACTTGGACTCCAGTGACATTGAAAGAGATAGAATTATGACCAGCCTCACCTATGAACAACTTGGGTTGTGACTGGAAGTTTAATTTTAATTTATTACCTAAATCTTGAGGTTTGACTCAAATGCCAGCCACTTGTGCAATTGTAAACAAAGACTTATGATACCACAAAAGCTTATGTAAGAATACATAAGCATCAGTCTGAGCCTAGATGTGCATGTTTGTGGACATGATTTCAGTCAGTGCTTTATGTAATTACTATCATCACTGCTATCAAAATGGCTCCCCAAAACTAGACAAGAAACTAAGAAGTGAAGGGAAGGCTCCTAAGTGAAATAAACAAGTCACACATGTAAATACCGAATAGTTTCTCTGGTGTGAATAAACAATAATAGTACATGAGATCCTAATGAGATAATTGATAATGTGAAATAGGAAGAAAAGGGCTAAAGGCACAGGCAAAATCAGAAGGGTAGGGGAAAAGTAATAAGGGAAAGGAAAAAATATGAGAAAATGAAAAAATGGAAACAAAATGTTTGTAAATCAGGAGGGGAGGAGGGGGTGCAGAGAGGGCAGGGACAAGGGGAAAAATGAGAACCAAGACCTGTCATGTAAAGGTACAAGATCCCAATAATAAATGTAACTGTACTGTATACCTAAAATATACCAATAAACTCGATAAGGAAAAAAAAAACAATCAGTTGAAAATAAAAAGGAAATTGTGGAGAAATATGAGAGTGGAATTCATGGAACCAATCTCTCTAATATGTACAATACATCAAAATCAGTCACTGTTTTGATAGTCTTACAGAGAAAATATTTGTACAAGGAAGTTGGTGGTGCTAAAGGTGTTACTCAAATTAGTAAGTCATGATCAACAGTGTTAGATGAAATAGAAAGGCTATTACTGGTGTGGATAAATGAAAGGCAGATGGCAGGATATATACAGCCTGAGTCTACAATTTGTGAAAAAGCTAGAGCTATAAATGCGGATCTCATAAAAGATAATCTATCAATGAGTGATAATGGTGAAACATTTCATACTAGTAAGGGTTGGTTTCACAATTTTAAATCAAGAACTGGGTCTCATAGTGTAACTAGGCATGGTGAAGCAGCCAGTGCTGATAAAAGGGTTGCTGAAAATTACGTACACCAATTCAAATGAATGACACAGAGAAATGGCTTTTGCTCTCATCAAGTTTTCAACTGTGCCGAAACTGGCCTTTTCTGGAAGAAAGTGCCCAGGAGAACGCACGTTACTCAATAAGAGAAGAAAATGTTAGGCCACAAGATTATGAAGGATAGGCACAATTTACTGCTATGTGCCAATGTGAATGGTGACCTCAAGATAAAACCTCTCTTGGTATCACTGTGAGACCCCTAGAATATTCAAAAGACATAGTCATGAAGAATAATCTAGGGGTCATGTGGAGATTTAACACAAGAGCCTGGGTAACAAGAGTACTTTTTATTGAGTGGATCAAGTAGGATTTCTCTTGTACAATTAAAAAATATCTGGAGAACAAAGGTTTACCACTGAAGGTTCTCCTTATCATGGACAATGTGCCTGCTCACCCACAAGATTTAGAAGGAGAATTGGCCACAGGATTCCCATGGTTCCCTGTCAAGTTTCTCCCACCTAATACAACTCCTCTATAGAAACCTATGGCCCACCAGGTTATAGCTAACTTTAAGAAGCTATACACCAAGGAACTGTTCCTGAAGTGCTTCTAGATGGTCATAGATACAGATTTAAAATTATAAAAGTTCTGGAAGGAACATTGCAACATCTTTTTCTTTTTTTTTTAAATTTTATTGAGTTTATTGGTACATTTTAGGGATACAGTACAGTTACATTCATTGTTGGGATCATGTACCTTTACATGGCAAGTCTTGATTCTCATTTTTTCCCCTTACCTCTGCCCTCCCTTCACCCCCTCCTCCCCTCCCCATCTACAAACACTTTATTTTCATCTTTTCATTCTCTCACATTTTTTTCTTTTCCCTTTTTGTTCTTCCCCTACGTATCACACCTTCCCTACACCTTTAGCTCCTTTCTTCAAATTTCTAAATGTCAGTAATCTTATTAGAATCTTATGCATTGCAACATCTTTTTCTATGTAAAGTTATTTGAAATTCTGTGCCAATGTCTCTCTAAG